ACAAGTCTCTTGGCCATGAAGAGAAATAAAAATAGGTTGAATGACAACTTTGGTTCATATTTCGGTCATTTAAAATCATAATTAAATTATTTCAGAAAAATGAATATTTATTCATAAATTCGATAAAATAAATTGTGATCAATTATAAATCAATAATCAGAAAAGTATAAGACGAAGTGGACGAGTTTGATATCATTATTTCCTCGTGTGAAAATATAATTTCGTGAAAAAGCATAACAAAATTAAAAATTGTTTACGATGCATTAGCTTTCCTTAACGGAATAAAAATTTTGACGATGTCTTGTACAGTGGATCGATTATTCTTCCAGATTTAGAAACCAAATGTACTCAATTTCCTTGACTGAAGAACAAGTGACCGAAGAAATATAATTTTTTATCATTGCAAAAGAGTTCCATTAAGGGTGATAACGTCATTATTAGCTATTCTTAACTATCATCTAGGAACTTATTAAAGCGAAACTGCCTTATATATAAGAAAAAACCTTTATATTGATAATGTTATGTTATCAACTAAGGGAATTGAAGAAGCACTTATGAAGTTTCGCTTTAATAGTATAATGAATGTTAGAGAATTTCTCCCCAATGATAGAGAATTTAACATAAGTATCGAGGAGAGATGAATTAATTTAAAAAAATTCTTGGTGTTAACTGGAATCCCAAAAGAACCTTGGAGTGAATGCAGTCTAACCAATCTAAGGCGTCTCAATATGACACATTTGAATTCTTCGTCCGTCTATGATGCAATTCAAATATTTTCTTTAAAATTAATGAAAGAATAGTTCTTGGAGTGAAGAAGGTAAAGAAACATGGGGATCTCTGAATGGCCAGCAAATTAAAGGCACTACTACTAAGATTCGTCATGCGAGAAACTCGGTTCTAGTTTGCAGTCTTAAAAGAGCTCTGAAATAAATGAATTACATGAATTTCATATCATCAGACGGTAGCCTCATTACATATAAAATTTTCAGAAATTTACAATGTTTATCAAAACTTAGGGAGTAAGCAAATTTATTAAATTTAAAAATTGTCAAATTCTTTGAAAAACGAATCGCTATCATTGTTATTTACTTCATTATTCAACTCGAATTATTATTTAATTCTTGCATAGTTCATTATCATATATATATCCTTGTAAAGTGAAATAAACAGTGATCGAAACTTTTAAGGAAATTAAAATTCAAAAATAAAGAAGCATGCCACCTGTGATGAAAATGAAAAAACTAAATTAAAAAAAAAATTAATTCACAAGCTTAACTTAAGAATTTCACTTAATAGAATAGACAAAGCAAATATTTCCAAACTTATCACAACACATACAAAAACCCTTCTATTTTTAAAAATTACAGCTGATATACACAATTGTTAATAGCCATATAATAAAGTATAGTACTCAGTAAAATATTATTTCAATTTCATTATGAGTTTGAAAAGAACATTTGGACATATTTGTTATACAAATGTTGTCGAAAAACCGAAAAAATATTTATTACATACTAAATGTTCCTTTGTTATATCCCATTCTTTGAAACAGTGAATCCTTTATCTAAATCTCAAATAGTAAATGTCTTCATTGCTAATCTGCTAAGCCAGCGCACTTTCCATATCTTTAAAAATCTTCTCTAATTAGTTAATAAAAAAGAAACGATCGGTGGCAGTTTTCTCACCGTTATTCAATAGTACCATTCTTTTCTTAGCTGTTTCAATTATTCCACTGATATTGTATCGACTCACATTTATAAAGAAAATAAACGACATTTGAGTCGATGTTGCTCGCAGACAAGAAGTAAAAGGTCCAATTCAAATTCTACAAACTTAAAGTCAAATGAATTTAACTAACCCAAATCATCTACTCTTCTGACCAAAAACTTCAATTTCAGGACAAATGTTACCGGTACATTTACGGCTGCTTTAGTCTGAACAGATTTTCTGATAGTTGAAAGAAAAATGAATTTCCAGAAATAAACCAAACAAGTGAAGTGTTCCATGAAGAACCAACTTATTGGATTTATTTCAATTCTTAAAAATTAAGACACTTCTAATTTCAGACATAATTTCATGGATTCCAACATGAAACTAGGTTTACAGTTTGCCTCAGATATTCGGCATAATATCTCAAAGAAGCTATGAATAAACTAGAGAGAAGTATTTGTCAAAAACTACTTGCTTTCCTCAGAAAACTGGGAGTCGATAAAAATTTGAAAACTAATAAATTAGAATTATTTAGAATTAGAATATTAAGTTGATCTACGGCTTGGTTTTCCTGTTATCCAGAAATAAAGGACTAAATGAAGAAATGTGTCTATCGCGAGATGGCATAGTTATGCAGAAATTTTGTTTGGAAGAAGGTGCTTTGTAAAAGATAAAGAACACAGCTCCTTACATTATCTAAGGCAATTTGCGGAAAAGGCAGTGTGCGCTGTGGATTTTAATAAAGTGAGAGGCAGATGGTTGCTAATAAAGATCCAAATGAGGTAAGTAAAGCTGAATTTGTCAAGAAATATGCTCACAACTAAAGAAATATTACGATGACAATATTTATAGATGCTAAGGATCTTAAAAGTATATTTCCGAAGCCAATTTATATCAAAGAAATAATTAAGTCGATAACAAGAATGATCAAATTTCTCCACCGTTTTGAAATGTCAACGCATTCAAAATTATTTCTTAAAAAAGAAATTTGCATTAACGAATGAAAGATACCTTGAAAGAGCCTTCCGGTAGAATAAAACAACACTTTATCATCCATTTCATTTTATTAACGTACCCAATAACTTATATTAAAGAAATATTAATTAACAAAAGCTGCAATATCTTGCGCTACTAATTTAGAAATTCGCCACCATTATTTTTGTTTAGAAAAACTTGTATACTAGAAAAAAGTTCCATACATTAATTCTGATTAGAAAAACTATATACCTGCGGGATTTTGGAAAGAATCGTTTAGGATAATAAGAGCATAGCAACACTGGAAGCGTTTTAATATTGCCAGTAGTATTGATAGTTGCGCAATTTTTAATCTAATTTTTTTTTTGAATTTTTTTTTGTGCTACATTAATTACTAATACCACAACCATTTTTTAATAGCTAAAAATAAAGATTAACCGAAGAAATGAAAGATATTTTTTTTCCAATCCAATGTGAAACAATATTAGATACAAGACAGGGTATTATTATTAAAATTCTTACAAACGCAACACTGGAATAATAACATACTTCATTCAGTTATTCTAACATTGAAGAGAGGAAAAAAGCAAAAATAAAGATTTAAGAAATTACTGATGAAACTGTTTCCATAAATAGGCTATAATTATTTAGTTGTTAAGTTGTTATTCAATTTATAATTATTCAATTCAATTTCCAATAATAATACTAGTTCCTCTTCAGACCTAAGAAAAATTCCTTCTTTATTTGGAATAAATTATCTGCGGGAGATATATCATGTAAATTTACGTAAATTCTTCTTAATTGATTTATGCTAAAATAAATCAAACAAACATTCGTTCCTTTTTCAATTTCGTGAATGAAATTCACTGAGAATAAAGTTTCGAAAAATTAAAATTTTTTGCTGCATGAGATCATGTACTACGTAACAGTTTAAAAATGTTTGAATTTAATACTTTTCCACTCTTTTTTCAGATATTGGTAGGATATAATTGCTTTAAATACTAACTTTCAATTTGCTTTTTACTTTCCATTTTTATTTCACAGTTTAAATGAAAAATTATTTGAGACACAACACCTAGTACCAAAATACATGGAAATTATACAGAAAGTATTGCTGTGTATCGAAGTTCAAGGCATGACTTGAAATAAATTTACCTGTCGACCTGTTCTCGAATACCTCCTCCACCTCCTATTACCAACACTCTACCCTTCTCACTCACTGAATCATCCGATGTCTTTATGGATGACTTGCTTCCATTGTGTTTATCTTACAACACGTGAACATAATTCGATGACGTGTCCTATCTATTGTGCACAATGAAGATAAATTTATCTCTAACCTTCTTCACTCCCTCTCTATCTGTGTGCTCCTTTAGCATAGCTTATTGATTTCTTGTTTTTAAATATTCAAAGACAACAAATGTACAAGTTTACAGAAAGATTTAGATTAACTCTGATGAGCTGATCTCTGCGGATTAAGTCTTCAGGAACTGCCACCTGATTTCTCTTGAAACCGTATCCGGATTAAATTTCCTGAGACCTCATTGTAATTACCCCGGACCATTATTGTATGAAGCGTACCGCCCTGTCCACTCACTTCACCATTCCGTAACTGACGTGTCATCATACCTGGGACAGGTGTGTGAAAAAGAAGAGACGACAAAAGATGGAAATGGCAGAAATTGTTGAGGTGTAAAAAAGTAGAGAATGACTGATATGAACTGTAAAAGAAATAGGAGCTGAAGGAAATATGTTTATGAGTTGGTACAACTTGTTGATGCTAGTAAATGATGATCGGTCAAGTAGGTCATCCGGTATAAAGAAAAAAGTTCCTAACTGACCTTTTAGTAAAGTATTGAGTGTTATTTGCTGCTTTGATAAAGATACCCTCCCAGTTTTGTTTTAAATTGACAGGACTGAAGAAACCCATTGAAATCTTTCATCATTTCTGCGACATACACGACACTCACTCTTAAAAGTGGGTTACTACAATTTTTCTCGACAGATGATACCATTGCCACCCTCCCTTTCCCTTTCTCTCTCCTTTCCTCTCATCGTTCCACCGCGTTCTCTACCATTTTCGCTCCCTCACTTCCATTGCCAACGCTACTTCAATGTGTTCTCTACTCCTCTCTCCACCCATCCCCTATATATTTGTCATTTATCAGTTAAGGAACTTTCTTTGCTAATTCGTCTAGCTTACCTTCTGCATATCTCCGTGTGTAATTAACAAAGCCAGTGATACGAACTGCATAATATGTATTTTCTTTCTGTGTATGGGTGAAACAACGACAGTTCAACGCTATCACTGATAAATGATTGTCACGAAACAAATCTCTTCATCCGGGGTATTCGCAGTTACTTTTATGTTATTACTATTATGTTTGTTGGGATGTGAAGTTTGGGCACAGTTTGAGCCTAATAGAGAATGTTTCTGCAAATTACAGGGAATCATCGATGATTGTCGGTTAGTCTCTTCTCGATTCATTTAGTCAAATAAGTGAAGTAATTTGAAAGAATTTGCTTTGATTAACTTGAAATATGCTTGAAAAGTTTGTATCTTAAAATACTGTTTGTAACCACGTTAAGTATCTATAACCCTCCGTGATATTTTATATTTAAACTTATTCCAGATGTACAGCGGAGAGCATTGATGATTTCAACAACTATGAGGTCTTTCCCATATTGCAGAAGCTCCTAACTCGTGATTTTTTCAGGTTTTATAAAGTGAGTTACTATTCACGTATATTTGAATGTTACATCAGTTTTGTTTCCTTGAAATGTGATCAGCAAAGAAAATGAAAAAAAAAAGGGATAAATGAAAGAAACGTGGATAATAATATTATTGGTTAGGTATTTGTTTTTATTTTTAAGTGTAGCATCGGAAAAGAGCTTTATATCATTAAATTTTGTCTTTTTAGGTTAACATGGAAAAGACATGTCCATTTTGGCCAGATGATCGACAGTGCTTGAGCAAGGAATGTGGCATTGGTTATTGTGATGACGAAGTTCCATCAGGCTTGAAACAACCAGCCAGCATATCAGTGGTTCGTTCTGAACTCATTCGAACTTCTTTGAAAAATGATTCTCTTATAACTCAGATTGGTGGAACTGATTCAACCTGTGAAAAAGAAGAAAGTAATGCATTTGATCCGCTGGATACAACTTTAACGGAAGGTGATCGACGACAACTGAATGACATGGACTGGCACGATGAAAATGAAGATAAATTTTGTGACTTCGAAGGTTTACTTTATTAGACTTGTGAAGATCTCTAATGGATTCTTCTCGAAAACCTAATGTCTTTGTGTAAGCTTTTCCATTTTTCAAACTTTGAAGGAGCGACATAAATTTTCTTGTCAGGAAACACCATATGTAGAACAATTTCTTTCGTTTTCATTGTAGAGTGTCAGAGATTAGTCGAGTGCTATTTGCTGATAAAATTTTACCTGAGAGAAATTATCAATCGAATGATACGATTTATTTCAGATGAAGGATCAGCAGATATGCATTATGTCGACTTATCCAGAAACCCTGAACGATATACGGGTTACAAAGGCGATAGCGCACAGAAAGTGTGGACTTGTATTTATCAAGAGAACTGTTTCAAGTTAGTCAAAAAAATTACTGCTGGGATATTTTTATACCGTTGTAATTATAAAACTGTTCTCAGTTGTCAGTTGATGGAAAATTATATAATTTGAGCATTGAATATATTTACTGAGCACTCAATTTTGAGAGTTCCTTAGAAAGTTTTGAGAGTTCCGCAAATGATCATTCATACACGCAACAAAGCAGTATTCAAATTACACAATAAATAATTCGAAGTAAAAATAACTGCACTCAATGAGTGCCTGCTTCTTCCGTATAGTAATTGAAATTTGGTACATTTTGTTTTTTCAGACCAAATATGAAATTTGACAAAAATTTCCTTGTTCATCCTAATTCCTTCGGTGAGTTCAAATGTTTTTGTTGCAGGTATCGTATTTGAAATTCTTTGCATACGCAAACTTATGTTTTATGGACAACAATTAATTACATTTGCGTTTGTTGCTGGTGTAAAACTCTTTAAAGATTTTTGTAGGAATGTGCTTTGAAAAACGTGTTTTCTATCGTTTGATTTCGGGTCTACATTCTGCGATTACTATATCGATCGCTTCTAACAGTTTCAATTCAAGTGAAATTTTTATAACTGTCAAATAGCAAAAATCTTTAACTATAAAAGTCTCTTTGTTCATTTCGTTCATCTTTCATTTTCAAACACATAGTGACAATGTCTGTTGAAAATCGTTATATTTTGGGAGCAAAAATGGTTCTTTGGACAAATTATGTTATACAATTGTATAAGACATATTTTTCCAAACACTATAAGAGATAATTAGTCCGTTCAGCATGTAGCTTAACTATTTAAGCATAGAAATAAACAAAAGAATTTAATCTGTGTAATCATTCTCTAGTTTAGATAATGTTGTAGTGTTGACCATCTGATGAGGAGTGACCACAGACAAGCATAACAATTTCAGTTTAATCTGTATTAAAATTGTAATTGAAGCAATTCTTACTTTTCTTTCCATTTAGATCATGTTGGTTTTGGAGATGGAATTTGGTTTAGAAATACGGAGCTTTTCAAAAATCGTTTCGGGACAAAATGGACACCTGAAGGACCACAGAGGCTAAAAAATATTTATTTCGTCTATCTTTTTGAACTGAGAGCACTCGTAAAAGCAGCACCTTATTTTCGCAAAGAATTATTTTACACTGGGAATCCAAAGGTTTTCTTGGATTTTGAAAAGTAAAACTAAATCCTTTTCCTGAAGCGTATTGTAAAAAACGAAAAAGATTTGTAAAAAGATTTATTGTGAAAAAAATCCTAAAAAGAATACGATTCATTAATATAAATAACATTGAAAATTGTTTATTCTAGGAAGATGCAGAAACACGTAAAACAGTGGAAGAATTAATGAGTGCTTTGAAAAAATTCAGTGATCCTTTCGATGAGACTGAAATGTTCACAGTGGGTTTTGAATATATTGATATAAGTTTTAGAGAAAAATGGGACTCTGCTGTAAAAATCTAGGCTGTTGTTTCCCTTACATTGTTTTTCTTAGGATTTCTTGATTTTTTTGAGTGTTTTGAATTTGGTTCAACTAATTCAGTTCTTCATACTAATTGGGCTAAGCTTCTGAATTAGATAAAGCTTTACTGTGTTTAAATGTTTTTATCTCCTTATTTATAGGGTGTTGAAGCAACGGCCCGGGAATTGCGTGAAGAATTCCGTCAACATTTTTTCAACATTTCACGAATTATGGATTGTGTTGGCTGTGATAAATGTCGTTTGTGGGGAAAACTGCAGACACATGGAATGGGCACAGCACTGAAAATATTATTTTCTGATTTACCAACTTCTCATTATAAAACTCAAGATGGCATTGTTCATCCACCTTTCCAGTTAACAAGGTATAGTTTCTCTTAAGCGATTCGTAAGACTCTTGTTGTCTTATTGCTCTTATTGTTTATTTAAACTTTATTTACTTGGTTTTATGCTGTTTTATGATTTCTGTTTTTTTTTTTTTTTTCAAACAAACTATAATCTACTGCAGAGGATAGACGTTAGCACAATTTTCCAATACTGGTTTTTCATTAAGTCTACTTTTACCTTCACCACTCGCTCTTCAGTTTCATGTCTAGGAACTTTTCATGATTCATTTTCACTTATTTTAGAGATGAAGGTTCTGGAGAACAAACTGTCATGAACATTTTCTTTTTCAAACTTTTTTGGTTATTGATTGCATGATGTGAGAAGAACCGTTATAGTTGATTCCTTTCGTTGACATCTCATTCATTTGTTGTTTCAGGAATGAGGTCGTTTCGTTGTTCCAAAGTTTCGGTAGATATGCATCAAGCATCAGGGAAGTTGATGAATTCCGTCGTGTATTGACTTAGTTCTTCGTAATAAAATTTCATAAAAAAAGGAATATGGAGAGTGAGGATAGCTTGTCCTCTGTTTAAGAAATGATTGGCTGTTATCCAGAGTTTATCTCTTTTTGTGCATTTCGGAACTGATATATATCAAATATTTGTACACTTTCCTAATTGATTAGTGGTGGGGTTCGGATTTTTTTTCATTCGTCCTAAGCGTTGCATTATCTAAGATACGGAAGCCTCGTTATTTACTTTTCCTTCCGTTTTTAATCTAATGGGAAACCAAAATTACCATCTTTTGGATGAGAGATGTATTATTTAGGTCCCAGAAACACTTAGGTCGTTATTTTGTATTGGTGATATTTGTCAGTGTCTATGAGTAGGCCTAGACTTCTTTCTAACTTCAAATCAAAACTTTTCTGTTATTTATATAATAATTACAATGGATAGTGATAATATTACCTAGCAGTTGACAAAATTGCTATTTTTCTGTTATTATCCGTTCTCATTAATAGTATTAACTGATACCTGATGGGAAAAAATTGACACTAGTTTTCGATGTTTTCTTTACAGAAGTTTGTTTTTATCATTTCCAAGTCTTTCTGTTTTTGTCGCAAGAGAAAGCATCCATTTTCTCCTTACGGGTTTTCAGAATTGTGGAATTTATTGTTTTCGTTGAAAGCTTTAATTTTATTTGTTAGGTTTATTCCAATATTTTTATGATGTAAATATAATCGTGCGAGTCTGCTTGCATATTAAGTGATTGGTAATAAATCGGAATTCCCTTCTTCAACTTACCCTTTCAGTGTCAAGATTCTATATTGTCCATTAATTTGTCATTTCATCTGTTTTTGGTTCTGTTTGTTACTTGCGTAACAAACAGATTTTAATGCCAATTTCGAATGAACCTAGGAGAAAGATCCTGTGCATATCCGATTCAACTGTGACAACTGTGGCACTAAACATCAATTATTAAACAAAAATTGGTACTTCAATGTATTTGGTCGTGCTTTGAGCAGTTAAGAGAAAATGTCTCAGTGTTGACCAACCATCACAGATTTACTGAAGTGGTAGAAGTAGTTAGTTGTGATATGACCAGTAGTGAATGTTGCTTGCAGTGCAGTGGTAGTTAACGATCAAGTTCAATGATACTTATGAAGCATGGATGGGCCAGTAAACTTTCCTTCAACCTCTTTCACGCAGAATATGTTTAATGATGAAGTGATGAATAAGTTATGATTAAACTCATAAAATAGAAACAAATGAAACGTTAGTGTATTGGGAATAGTTAGTCATATTAACAAGATAATGACATAAGCAGACAACGGGCAAATGCCGTAATGTCATGTGGTGTGAGTCAGTCAAGAAATCGACTATACAGAGCACAGGAATGGCGATGATGATCACGGAGAAATAAAAACTTGTTTACAATGACCATTGGAGAAATCCATGATAAAAGAGATTACGATGCCTTCTTATCAACAGATCTTTATTTTCCAATATTCAGCGGTTTGTTTGATATTAACAAGTGGAAAAATTTTCCTGCAAATTATTCTGATTCGTCATGTATTAAACCTGTAGGAATCAGTCTCAAAGACTTCATAAATTTCAAAAGCCATAATCACAATTATTTCCGAAGTTGTATCACTATATTTTGAAAAGATATAAAAAGATACTTCAAATTAGTTTTCGGATATCATAAAATTACATCATAAAGTATAAGCGACTTGCATAGGAGACTAAGATTTATTTTGTAAAAGCATCAAAGCTTGCTTTATCTTCTACGGAATAGCCAGCAAGTTGTCTGGTATTCTATCACCATTATCTTTCTGAAGTTCTGCTATGATCAATGAGCAAAGCTCTTGTGGATTGTTTTCATACGGAAACGCTTTCATTACAGTCAATACGATCTGCTTCGGAAACAACTGACATAATATATTTTGTAATCGACGTCGTTCGTTTATTACCTCTGGACGAGTTGGTTCAGATGATCTGAAAATAATACAACCCTAGTTCGTTCTTGAAAATAAACTTTGAGTTTCTCGAAACTACTTTAAATGTAGACTCAAAGCTCGATGACCATTCGGAGATCGGTTTTTTCTAAGCTCCACAGAGAAAATGCATAGTAATCCGAATTAGCATTTTAAGGACTGATCATGTGCAATGAGAGAATTATTATTGCCTTATCAAGCTAAATTTCGATTCGTCTCGAAGGTTTATACACGGAGTAAGAAAATGTGGAGGTGTGATGGTTCGGGTTTCACATGCGTCGCTTAAGGTATCCGGATTTCGTACAAAATGCTGCGGTAGCGATAAACCGCATAAGTCGGGAGATAGATCGTTGTCTGGAAGTAAGCAAACTTAAAATTCAAAATCTTTATTAATCTTGTTGACAGTAAGTTATATCAGATCTTTATTTGATTCAATTTATATATTGTAAATTTTGAAATAAGTCTTCTAAACAGTTCTTAATTCTAAATGATTCGGCCAAAAAAATACAAGTTGGAGAGAATTTTAAAATTCACCTTCATTGTGAACAAGTTAAGAGTAACGGAATTCAGAAAGCTTTATATTTTGAATTTTTCGTAAACCGCTACGAATTTTTTAACTATATAAAATATTTCAACACTACCTAAAAAATTATTCTACTTTTCTGCAAATCTTTCAGTTGCTTATTGCGTTTTTTTAATCTCAAGAAAAGAAGAAGAGAAGAACATACTATATGAATTTAATGAATTGATGCATGGATAGGGTGAAGGAAGTACCGTTGTATAATAATGAGTTATATTTGTTGCAGAATGATTACACCTTATTAGAGGAGTCAAAGGTAGGGAACGCTTCGAATTTGTTACTTTCTGAGGGTCGTTCGATGGGGTGAAGCAGTGCTGTTCTCGAATTTGATGAATCCGATCAACTGATAATGGTAGAAATGGAATGGTGGTTTGTTGAACGCTAAAAACAGAAAGTTGAGATGACGGTATAGGAGATAGAGATTGTGTCGCGTCCTTCTCATGATGATTCGGTGAGTTCCGCATCAGCTTCTGAAATTTAATTTTAGTTCCAAACTGAACTATAAAAAGTTAATATACTAAGTTGTTGAAACAACTTACCTTATCGTTCTCACATACAATCATCTTCTCTGAAATTGGTATATTCAAATTTTGTGCCGAATGATCCATACATTGACAAAGAATTGTCTTTGGTTGGGATGAATCTGTAAATGATTGTGGTACACACTGGATTAGATTCAAAACAATATACATGAAAACATGCAAACTATTCTTAACTTCTAACATAATACACTAATTCATTAATTAATATTTCAAAGATATGAAAGTTACTCGCTCGTTGAACTCTGATTTTTTTTCATATGAATAACTTCAAATTCCAATTCTAATGCTTGAAAAGTTATCAACTTAAAAAACTGAATCCTTTTTTAGAAAAGATATTTAGAAAACAGTTAAAATCAATAAGGTCCATCACAAAAGAACAAACAGATAGGATGGAACTGCCTTCGTTTTTCTTTCATTAACCGATCCGTAACACTAACACGAATACCGTTTGGTCTTTCCGGATGATAATATCTGATAAAGATCATTGTATTATTTAAATTTTGTAATAGGGAAGTGTGAAGTTTTTTTTATATGAAAAATTCAAATGTCTTTCATTTCTTTTCAACTTTCGAAGTTACTCACTTTTTCAAAATTTCAAGCTTATGCAGAATTTTAAAAATACTGTCCAGTTCAATAGAAATCTTTCACCAAATCTCACTTGCATTTATTCCCGTAAGTGCATCGCCGCGCATATGGACAAATTTGGGATTGAGACTGTTGTCGATTTCCCTTCGTTAAGAACTGTGCTAACTTTGGTCCATGTCTTCCAAGTGGGTCATCGGGTGGCATAAATCTTGCAAAACAAGCCAAAAAGTCCTCAGAAAATTTTATGAGACAGGTCATACTTTGCCCCATTTGCTCCATAAATACTAAGTAAGGCTATGAAAATGAAACGAATACGAAAATTAAACTTCTGAAACAAATGAATTGAAGCGAAACAATTAGAGTAATTAGAAAGGTCAACTAAAAAATTAAAAAAGCTCATTCGTCAATGTTAATTGAGAAGTGCAGCAACAACGATGTGAACGCTATCATAGGTATCATCTTATTTCACAGTTTTATCCATTAAAAATCCAAAATCATTACTATTATTCGGCCATAAAAATGATCATTTGCAAAGGCATTTGAAAAAGAATGAAATTTCTGAAGATATATAGGACAAAACTATACCTGCCATCAACGAATGAATACATTAAAAGCCTTTCATCGACTAGTTTTCGATATTGTGGATTTTCCTTGATTAAATCTCGATACTCATCATTACTTACTATTACTGCATCCTTCTCTTCCGCTGTTTTCAGGATATACCGGTCATCATGACATACAATTCGGCGACCATTGATGCGACGCGATGGTGTCCATATCTATAAATTACTTCTACATTCACTAAAGCTAAAACGGTAATCTTAAAATTATCATCATCATTTTTCCTAACCTCTACCAAAATTTTTTAAGCCAGTGTTGAAACTTTGCAATAAATGATGAAAAATTGAATGAACCTTTGATAACAAGTTGTGGAAACAGATAAATAAAGGTGACGAACGAAAATGTGATTCCGAATAAATAAACGCCTTACTTTGAATTCTAAACTTAACGGTCTCCGCTGCCTTTACGAAAGCGAAAAAGAAAAGATTAAAACTAACTAAGACATTTTCCTTTTCTAATTCGAAAAGTATATATTGATCGGTAATTGGACAATCTGAACGGGCTATTTCACGCCGAAATTGAGGAACGAAAACAATTACGTCTGTATGACCGCGATTACGGAAAAACTGCACACATTCACGTATACCACGACAAGAAAATACCTCTTTGCGGCCGTATCTGAAACTCCCTTGAATCCATGGCCTTGAAAGGGCAAAAATTGATCAGCTGAGGGAATGAAATGATTTCATCGACTTCACTCAG